AATCGTGCACCTATGGATGAGGACAGTGGGTGGGGAGTGAGGGCGGAGGGTGGGGTGGGAACTGGGTGGAGGGGAGTTATGGTGGGAAAAAAGAGGAACCAATGTAATAATCTGAACAATAAAGATTTAATTTAAAAAAAAAACTTTAAAACCAGAAAAGTGAATTTTCACTCCATAAAAAAATAAATAAAATGGAATTTTGCATTAAGGTATAAGAGATGATGAATTTAAGATTTTTAAAAATTTTAAATAAATACGATTGTCAATGATTACATAATAGTGCCTCCTCAATGTGCTTTTGTCTATGTACCCATGCCTTTATTTCTGCATATGTATATACTAGGATCAGTTTCACATTTCAGAATGTGACAAATTAAAAATATCATGAACTTTCAAATTGTAGCATTAATGTTACAATTAGATTCCAATCAGTTTACAACCCTAGGGGAAGGGGGGTTGTTGGGGAGGTAGAGGGATTGAGAAAAAAAAAAAGTGAGAAAAAAAACCATGAATCTGGACAACAGTGTAGTGATTGTGGGGGTTGAGGGGGATGGGTGGAGGTGGAAGAAGGCATAGAGGGAATAAATGGTGATGGAAAAAATTAAATTTAAAAAATAGTAAAATAATAATTTTTTTAAAAGACATACTGATTCCAATGTTCCTAATACATAAAGATAACCTCCCAAAGACAATAAGCTTGTTGAGAGACATGTTTTAAAAGATGCAGATTGAATCCTCAGCTCAATAAAAGTAATTGAGCATGCACTGAAGTAATCCTGTAATAAGTGGAGCTAGGATTTGTAGAGTTGTTTTTATTGACTGCAACCATGCCATTTCTCAAGAGGACCATGTTTTTTTCCTACTTTGTGCTCTTAGGAAAAAATCACTTGCAAGTTGGAAATTATAATTTAAGTTCTAAAAAGAAAATGTAGAAGCCACACATCCTTTCTAATCCCCTTTCTCTTTGGTCAAGAGAGCAGGTAGTGAAAGTCTATGTCAGCGATACAATTTCAGCTGAATATGCACACTTACTCCTCCTTGCCAGGAGTAAAAACTGAGACACACACGCCCTCTTCTGGTCCATGTGATTTACATCAGCTTGTCTGGATGCCACAGTGCCCTTATAGGCCCCATCAATTGCATTTTGAACTGCAGCGGAGCCCAATTAAGGTGACCTATCTCTGGAATAATGAAACACTAATGATCTACTAGGAGACATCAGCACAAAGATTTTTTTGAATGAACACATAGAATTTTTGCAAAAGAAAAGGTTTAAAAGGATCATACTTAATAGTGCAATTACATAGTAACAGCACTAACAGAGCTGACATCATTAAAGCTGGAGGTCAACATGTATAAGAAGCAGCTGTCATCTCAGGGCCAAGGTGCAACCTTTACTCCAATTCAACGTGAGAAATGTCAGATGGCTTTCTCTGAATGTACTGTTCATAGAAAGATTCAATTTAACCCCCAGAAAACTAAACGATAAGGAACTTGCTCTCTTTTTAAAAGAATGCTGCGCAGTCTTGGCTGCCCTGGCAAGTTACCTGGAACATGTGGAATGCCAGCTTCGCGTTGTATTCCCACTGCTTCAGGGCTTGCTCCACATCTGGGGGCACAGGGACAGGGCCATCACCCATGCTGGAAGCCATGTGGTAGAAGTCGGAAATCTTGGCCAGCTGCTCTCGAAGATACCTGGTAGATATTTGTGTCCACTCTGCATTTTAAGAAATGGTATAAGAAATGACTTTTTCACCCCTTTCTGATCATCTTAAGGATGTACTTATAAAACAAACATCTATGACATAAAAGTGGCTTTTGCACATTCAAGCGCTTCAGGAAGGCATGCCCACCCCAAAGCCATTAGTGCCATGGCACCCTCCACAGCAGCAGGGATCCAGCCAGCTCTCTCCTGTGCCTCTGCGACCCCTTATCCAGGAGAAGATATCTGCACTCAAATTAGATGCATCAGGGGCTCTTCCATGTTAAACAACAGTTAGCACAAAATAACATGAAAGGCACAAGCAGAAAACAGAACTTCAGAGGCAAGCCCTTTGAGAAATTTCAAGTCTCCACCAAAAGAATTCAAAATCCCCAAGTGTATGTTTTTCAGGGTCCAAGTCAAGTGGCAAACATGCCTAGTTAAGATCTGCTCTGTTTTTGTCAATCTGTGAGAGGCAGCATTCACATGGGCTGGCCATGACAGCATTCCGAGCGGCACTGCCCCGGACTGCCAGGGACACAAGAGCAGCAGCCTCTCAGACAACCGTGTGGACCTGCAATGACTGCACTCTCCTCAGAATGCAATCAGCAAGAGTGGTGAGCAACAAAGGTAGGAAACGGCAAAGGAAATAGAAAACATAGCGTAAAAAAATCACTGAAATTATTCAAAAATGTCTGCCACGGGGGCACAAATTAAATCAGTGTGTTGCCTCTGGCAATCACAGGGGATGAGATGCCAACCTGAGCCCATTCTGTGTGTAAAAATGTAATGATTGCATGCTCACAGTCAAATTTCCCCAAGGATTAGCCAAGTAGCATCTCAGAAGAAACCATCCTACTGAAACATTTTCACTCAACGCTGTTTTCCCATTACTTTGGCAATAGGTTCTCCCACCTTCTTTTAAAGGAAGCTATTTTGACAAGAGTAGATACTAAACATCTTGTTAGTCATTGAGAGTTTTGTTTTTCCTTTTTGAATACTATTAAACTTACCTGATAATAGTACCCAGAGATAACTACTATTAAGTTGTGGTCTAAACCACTTATTCTAATTGTGTCTAATTTAAAATTGAAATTCAAATGCAGATGCTAAACTCCAATAATAAGCCAATGCAAAAGGATGAAGAGATACTAGGTCAACACTTGCCACTGATAACAGATACTATCATTAAAATGAATCCACTGGAGCCCTAGCTGGTTTGGCTCAGTAGATAGAGCATCAGCCTGCGGACTGAAGGGTCCCAGGTTCAATTCTGATCAAGGGCACATGCCCGGGTTGCAGGCTTGATCCCCAGTGGGGGCATGCAGGAGGAAGCCGATCAATGATTCTCTCTCATCATTGATGTTTCTATCTCTCTCTCCCCTCTCCCTTCCTCTCTGAAATCAATAAAAATATATATTTTTAAAAAAAATGAATCCACTGGAATTAAAAACAAAGACTGAATTACCAATGCTGTCATCTTCTGGTGCCCCTGATATGGATTAACAGTCTCATGCCACTCATTTGTTCAACAAAGTGAAATGCCAACCATCCAATGGATGGGTGGAGCTTAGCTACAATAAACAAAAACAAAAATTACAAGGACCAAAATCCCAGCTTTTGTGTGCCACACCTTACTATTAGCTCATTCTCAGTATCTACTATTCTCAATATCCCCACAGAATATTTTAGCCTCAAGAGCTAAAAATAACACACACATTCACACACCCCAACTTTAAAAAGTTTTTTTTTAAAATAGAAGAAATACATGGTCACTACAGAAAATGTATGAAAACAAAAAGGCTCTGTAATCCCATTGAAACCAAAATGTGGGGTCTGAGTTTGTTGTCTCACGAAATCGAAGAATGATGTAGCAGACAAAAATGAATAATGGAACCAAAGTTTATTGAGAGCACCCAAGATAATTAAAGTCTATTAATCCATGTGCAGAGTCCCACATGGCCATAAGCAGCGTGGGCTTAGGATGTGCTCCCCTGCCACAGGAACTCAGGAACCCATTGTGTGCCAGAGAGAGGAGAGAGGACAAGAGAAAGCACGATTTTTAATCTAGGGCAGTGATGGCGAACCTTTTGAGCTCGGCGTGTCAGCATTTTGAAAAACCCTAACTTTGGTGCCGTGTCACATATAGAATTTTTTTTATATTTGCAACCATAGTAAAACAAAGATTTATATTTTTGATATTTATTTTATATATTTAAATGCCATTTAACAAAGAAAAATCAACCAAAAAAATGAGTTCGCGTGTCACCTCTGACACGCGTGTCATAGGTTCGCCATCACTGATCTACGGGGTGGGTACAGCCTTGCTAGTTCTTGATTGGTATTTTCAAAGAATTCTGCCTTAGTAACATCCTTGGGATTGGTTTGTATGCCTCACAGCCTTGTGATTAGTTATTTTCAAGCTACCTGTCTTAGCAATATTCATGTATTTTAAACTTCGCTTTTCTCATGTGTGCCTTTCTTTACCTGCCCAATTGGGTTACTTAGTAACTCTGCCTAGTTGGGTATCCCATTTCTATTTCCTTCTCCCCCCCATGGTCCCCATCCCTGTCTACATAGCTTCCCTCTGTCTCCTCACCATCACGCATAATCATTAAATATTCTAACATGCAACCTTCGGTCTTTACGTGTGTTTGAACATTTATATAAACACATGTGTGGCTAATAAAGGCTTGCTGAATATACCGCTCCACAATCTCCTCCTATTGGGATTCACATGGACTTTAAATGCAGCCCTCTTAATAGTGCGCTTTAATTATAACTGTAGTCCACTAACAGTAAGTGATCATGGCAAGCAGACAGATTCAGGAGTCTGGACATAAGATAGTCTAGAGTGGGCTGGTATAAAATATTGGACTGCCCACAAAATTTTCATTAGAAATTGAAAACAGAAAACAGCAGCCTTGAGTGGAAAACCACCACAAGAGGGCTTTGACCCAATGCCAGTGCCTTCAGCCCCACTGCCAGATTCTGACTGGGCCCAGTTCCAGGTAGTAAAAGAAAATAGGAATGGATAAAGATCACAGGGAAGATGGGGGCAGGGTGAGATTCGAAGGTAAAAAGCTACAGAATGTGACCAAAAGGGCTACTCTGAAAATGGAGCAGTCCTACATTCTAGCAACTTGGGGGGTGTGGCCACACTTGTAGCTCCTGGAGGTGCAGTAGAACCTAAGGTCCATGAGCCAGATTGTTAGAAAGTTTATGAGCATGAGCGTTACTGAGAGGGCTCAGGACTGAATACAGTGCCCAGTCCTTTCGACAGTGCTCTCCCTAGCATCCAAGAATCCTACAGCCACTGCACCTCTCTGTCCATGCCTAACCCGCAAGCAGAGGGCTTCTAGAGGCCACACAGTTCATTACCACCTTACAGACCTAGGCACTGCAGGCATCCCCAGGGTCACACAGCTGGCCCAGGACACAAACAGGCGTGAGATGCCCACTCTGGTACATGAAATCACATAAAACGATGAACACATATGGGGAGAACAGAGGTGTGGCAGGGCGGAGCGCAGTGCAGCCAGGCTCCTGGCGAAGGTGTCCTGCAGCACAGCAACAGAGCCCACACGCAGCCGTAGGGGCAGAGTGAACTTGGGAACAGATGGCCCTGAATCCCAATCCCAGCTCTGCCATTCAGCCATGCGACCTGGAGCAGCAGGTCTAACCTCTGCTGAGTCTCACCTTCTTCATCCTACAACAGGATCAATAATATATGTACATCAGAGTGACTGTAAGGGTGAGTTACTCAGCCCCATGCACAGGATGCAGAAAATGATCAATAATTGGTAGCTTTGATCATCACCATCAGGATGAAAAGTTTTTAGAAAAAAAAAAAAACTAACGGCCAAGCGGTCACTATCAGGACACACCTGCTGCCAATGTCAGTCCCTGCCTCGGCCTCACAGAGCTACCAATGCCTAACACCTGCTCCACAGGCAGACTTACAGAATCAACGTCAGCTCCCTGGTTCCAAACCCTTCGCCGATCAGCAACCCATCATGAATGAAGGCTAAACTCCTTAGCTAGGAATTGGAATCACTTCAAACACTACCCACCACCTAGCATTTCGTACTCCACCAGCCCAAACTGCTCTGACTCTCATGCCTCTGATGCAATCTCTACCAACAATCCTTTTCTACTGACCTGTGTTCATGCATTAGAATTTTCCTGGGCCCAATTCAAATGTCACATCTAACACATAACCTTCTCTAGTCTCTGGACACCACCCTACCACCTAGCGGGGGTCTCCCTCTCTTCTCTAACCGATATCTTAGAAACCCCTCCATCTCTCTCTTTCATCCCCATAAAACTCTGCCATACATAGTCAACCATCAAGTATTGACTTGAATCAATGCACCCCAAGGTTCTCTCAAAATGACTATTAAATCAAATTCCTTCCCAATCATTCTGACTCTCCAATCTTCATACAAACATCTTTGCTTTCTAGTTTAAATTCATCACTACATACCTTGAAGGTTTCACACACCATTATAGGGAAAATGCCAAATTCCCTCTCTGATGCACTGTGTTTATTATAACCAACTTAACTAGAAGCACCTGCTAACCAATGTGCTCCAAAGGCCCATGCAAATATGAAACTTTCAATTATATTTTAATAAACTTACAATAAATGTATGTATTTTGTGAAGGTACATTTTCCTGGCTGGATTCTTTCCTGTTTCCAAAGCCAGTGGGAACCCACTATGTGAAATAAATACAATGCTGATGATTTTTTTAAAACGCCCACCAAGTCTAGAGACTAACACACACATCTATCTGTAAGGTGATCCAGTGCTATGTCAAGGACACAGGAGAAGCCTATACCCAACAGCCACCAGGGAAAATTCTTCCTGAGACTGTACCATTACAACAAAAGGTTCTTGCCTCTCCATGGGGAGGACAGCCTGCTTCTCGAAACTACAGGATGTAGAGGGTTTAACCAGCCTGACTTCGGTGCAGACTGAATGGAGGAAAAAACCTTCAGTATGTGTAACATG